GACGGGCTGCAGGTGGGGGGCGCGGGTGTGTGCGTGTTTGTGGGTGGCCCTGGGGGAGGCAAGCGTGTGTGTCAAACAGACGCTGGGGTGGGGGGTGCCGGGCGGCGCAGGTAGGGCATGGTGAAGTAGGGGGCCGAGGTGCATCTGCATCTGTTAGTGGGGGCAGCATGCCGGTGTGGCAGCCGGTGTGTGGGGAGGGGGAGGGTGCTGCATGCAATGGTGCGGGGCGGCCCCAGCAGGCGGCACAGGATACGCGGCAGGCGCACGGCGGGCATGCCGTGCTGCGACGGCGGGCTGCCAGCGGGACGGGTCGCGCCCACCCGGCGCCCTCACTCCCTTCCTTTCTTTTCCTCCTTCCTTTCCTCCCGTCGCCAGGTGGAGCTGCCCGACTACTGGCTGGATGCGGGCAACCCGTGGGAGATCCGCCGTCCGGAGACGCAGTTCAAGTGAGCATCTAGCACCTCAACGTTCACAATCCCTCCTGACCCCTCCACGCAGCACAGCCCGCCGCTGCCGGTGGCGGCAGGAGGGGGCTGTGGTGGGGCCCGGAGCAGGGCAGGAGGCTGGCGGGCAGAGGGCGGCGGCCGGGGCGCGCATGCCCGCACGCATCGACCAGCACGCGATGCCGCCTCCAGCAGCGGCAGCGCCGCGCCACCCCCCTCCCTTCCGCCTCTCTCGGCCCCAGCCTGCTCGCTCGCCACCCCCCTCACACCAACCCCCTCCACCCGCCCCCCTGCAGGGTCGGCTTCTACGGCTCCCTCCAGGACGGCGTGTGGGCGCCCGGGGAGGAGGTGATTGCGGAGGCGTACGACGTCCCCATCCCGGGCTACGGCACCAAGACGTGCAGCAACCTGCGCCTGTGGGACGCGCTGCCGTCCACCGAGTTCGACCTGGAGGCCTTCAACGCCGGGGACTACACCAAGGTAAGGCGTGGTGTGTGTGTGTGTGTGTGTGGTGTGGGGTTGCCGTATTGTTGTCGTGTTATTGTGGGGGGTAGTTGTGGGTGGGCTGCCGCGTAGCAGTGGCGGCGGTGGGGTGGGGTGTGCAGAGGGAAGGGGCTGGAGCAGGCCGCCGGGCGCCCCCCCGCCTCCCGCGTCTCGCCTTCCCCCATCCCGCCTCCCTCCCTCCTGCCCCTTCCTCCTGAACACCACACATCCTGCTCCCCCCACCGCCTCCCACCCTTACCCCACCCCACCCGCAACAGGCTGTGGAGCAGAAGCGGCGCGCTGACGACATCACCGCGGTGCTCTACCCCAACGACGCGACGGAGGAGGGCAAGGAGCTGCGCCTGAAGCAGCAGTTCTTCTTCGTCTCCGCCTCCCTGCAGGACACCATCGCGCGCTACCTGGTGGGTGGGTGGGTGGGTGGTGTGGTGTGTGTGTGTGCGTGGGGTGTGTGAGTGTGTGTGTGGTGTGTGTGTCTGTGTGCAGGGCAGGCGTGCATGGCGTGCCTGCGTGTGCATGTGTGTGCGGGGGTGCGTTTCCAGCGCCTTTCCCGGCCCCGCACGCGTGCCTGCGCTGGCGGCCTCGCCCCCCCAGCATTGGCACCAGACGCCCGCACCGGGTGCCTGCACGCCACCTGTGTGCCACATCGCCGACAACACCTGCCCCCTGCCTCCGCCGTGCCGCAGGAGAAGCACGACGACCTCTCTGGCCTGCCCGAGAAGGCGTGCTTCCAGATGAACGACACGCACCCCACCATCGCGGGTGGGTGCCCTGGGAGGGGGTGTGGGCTGGGGGGAGGCAGGGGCGCTCCGCGGCCGCTGCAGTCTGGGCAGGCGCCGCATGCTGCGTGGGCTGTGTGGGGGAAGCAGTGCGGGAAGCAGTGCAGTCTGGGGGGGCAGGCGCCCGGCCGAGCTGCCCGGCGCGGGCGCTGCGCTGCGCAGCATTCTGGCCGCCCTCCCTCGCCCCATCTCCCGCTCCCCCTCACCCCCTCACCCTCCTCCCCACCTTGCACCCCGCAGTGGCGGAGCTGATGCGGCTGCTGATCGACGTGCACGGCCTGCCGTACGACCAGGCCTGGGGCATCACCACCAAGGCAGTGGCCTACACCAACCACACGTGAGGCAGCGGGGGGGAACGCTGCCGTGTGTGTGTGTGTGTGTGGTGTGGTGAGGGGGGGGGGGGGGGCGCCAGATGGGGCGGGGGGGGGGGGGGGAATGTGGAGAAG